TTAACTGGAGCGAGGTGATATCTCTTTGTGGTTTTGATTTGCATTTCCCCTGGTGATTAGTGSTATGAATATTTTTTTCATATACCTGTTGAGAAATGTCTATCCAGGTATTTTGCCCATATCTTTAAAGCATTTTTTTTTAGTTGTCAATGGACCTTTATTTTATTTTATTTATATGTGGTGCTGAGAATCGAACCCAGGGACTCACACATGCTAGGCAAGCGCTCCACCACTGAACCACAACCCCAGCCCATTTTGCCCTTTTTTTAGTTGGATTATTTGTTTTTGGAGCTGTTGGAATTCCAATTGCCCATCAGTGGAAGAATGGATAAATTAAATGTGGCACGTGTACACCATGSAGTATTTACTACTCAGTATTTGGAATAGCATTTCGGTAAATGAAATTCTGTCATTGAGGATAACATGAAAGGCATATGTGATATGAAATATATCAGACACAGAAAGATAAATACTGTATGATCTAACTCATGTCTCATTTGTAACCATGATTTTATTTATTTCATTTTTTGTAGCTCTGGAGATTGAACCCAGAGGTTCTGGGTATAGGTGTCTCTTTGAAAATACTTATTTCCTTTGGGAATACTCCTAATTATGAAGTTGCCAATCTCATAAAAGTAAAGATTAGAATAATGGTTATAGAGGGTCAGGAGGGGTCAGGAAGCAGGGTGTGAGGTCAATGAGTACAAAGTTACAGTTAGAAGGAATAATTTCTGGTTTCTAGCTGGGAGCCCTGTTCTACACCTGTAATCCCAGCAACTCAGGAGGCTAAAACAGGAAGATCACAAGTTTGAGGCCAGCCTCAGCAACATATCTATCTTGAAATAATAAATGAACAGAACTAGGGTGTAGACCATCCCTGGGTTCAAGCCCCAGTATAAAAAACCAAACCAAAACAAAAAACAACCCCAAAACAAACCATAAACCTTCACAAGCTCCCTGTCTCAAAAAAAAAAAAAAAGTAACAATTTTAGGCCCAGCAAAACGGTGCATAACTGTAATCCCAACGGCTCAGGATGCTGAGGCAGGAGGATTGCAAGTTCAAAGTCAGCCTCAGCAACAACAAGGTGCTAAGCAATTCAGTGAGATCCTGTCTCTAAATAAAGTACAAAAAAGGGCTGGGATTGAGTGCCCCTGAGTTCAATCCCCAGTACCCCCCTCCCCCCAAAAAAGTAAAAAGGACTGGGGATGGAGTTCAGTGTTAAAACACTCCTGGGTTCTGGTGTTCTGTTGCACAGTAGGGTGACTACAGTTATTAATATTATTTTTTTGTATTTCAAAATAAGAGAAGATTTTAAGTCTTTCACCACAAAGATATGATAAATGTTCAAGTTGATGGATATGCTAATAACCCTGATTTGATTATTACACATTGTCTATGTATATTGAAACATCGCATTGTACCTCATAAATCTGAATAGTTACTGTGCGTCAATTAAAACTATAATAAAACTTAGAAGAAGAAAAAAAAAGAATTAGAAGGGTCTCTGGACCTTCACAAGCACGGGATGGAAGGAATTAGGATCAGGCAAAGAAGTCTGGACAGGACCCCGTGATGGGTGAGGGGGCCTGGAGAAAGGGAAGAAAGAGACCCAAGTGACAGTGGAAGAAGGGTCAGCTGGACTTGGCACCTGGGGAGCAAAAACAGAAGAGATGGTTTGAGGATGTTGCCTAGGCGTGTTGCCTGGGCAACCAGAGAAACAGTGGTACCCATCCCTTGCTGAGGCCCGGAAAGAGGCAGGCGCACACTGCTCTGCTGACTTTGGTGACTCTCTGGCCCTGTCTTCCTGTGTCTGGCCTATCCACCCTCCGCTCCTCCTTGCAGGACACCAACCTGCCCCTCCGGCCTCATCCCCAGCTCTCCTCAAACCAGACGCACCCCCACGTCGCCCCGCGGAACATCTTTTTTGTCAACATTTTTTCTAAATGTCAAAATCTCACATGTTTATTGTACAAAACTTGGAAAATACAGAGAGGTATAAACAAAATCAAAATCGCACTCATCACTTTATAGACAAGCATAGCAAACATTTGGCAAGATTCGTTTTTCTTTTTTCTATAAATGTATATATGTCTTTTGATTTTTTTATTTATAGTGTAGCAACATCCAAATCATGACAGATTTTTGGTTCTGCTTTWGTTTTGCCGTAAAAATGTGCTCTGCCTTTGGCAACACTCAGTGCCATTAAATAGTGTGCGTGTGTATATATGTACATATAGTTTAGTTGTAGGTGGACATAATACCTTTATTTTATTTATTTATTTTTATGTGGTATTGAGGATCGAACCCAGGGCATCACACATGCGAGGCAAGTACTCTACTGCTGAGCCACAACCCCAGCACTCCCAGCCCTTTTTAAGTGCTGTACCACTGAGCTAGAACCCCAGCCCCGTAAAGCTTTTAAAAACATGGTTTCCAGTGACTATCACAATTATCATGAAGTTATAACTATTTTCATAATTGATACATTTGAACCTACCACCATATTTTTATATTTCATTATTTCTCTCAGTCTTTTTTTTAATTTCTCCTCTAGAAAACTGAAAGGCAGCTGGGTACCATGGTGCACACCTGTAATCCCAGTGACTCAGGAGGCTGAGGTGGGAGGATTACAAATTAGAGGCCAGCCTCAGCAACTTGGTGAGATCTGCCTCAAAAGAAAATCGGCTGGGGATGTAGCTCTGTGGTAAAGCACCCCTGGGTTCAATCCTCATTATATATATATATATTAAAAAAAATTGAAATGCCTCTATGTTTTTGCCTAACATATTTATTGTGCTCTTGCCTTCCCCTCTGCCAAAAAAAAAAAAAAAATGTCCTTCCTTTTTCCAGCCTGGCAAATCCTTCCTATCCTTCATAATCTCTGAGGGGTCACCTATTTCATATCTGCCAAGCACAGTAGCCACTAGGAATGTGACATAGACCCTGGGACAGACTCTGCAGCCTCCCAACCTTCCCTCGGGAGTGAGCAAGCCATGTGTCATTTTTTCCTTTAATGCGCTCACGAAATGAGTAACTTGCTTGTGTTTGGGCCTCTATTTTAACCCTCAGAACACCTTGAGATTTTCTAGACTGTGAAATTACTGTTGGGTGCTTTCCCACTCTGCCCCTGCTCTCTTCAGGATTTGCCCAGGACCTGAAAACCACGGCTCAGAAGATGACAGTATCTTTCCCATGAGAGGGAGGTGGAGCGGATGACCTCTCCATCTGGTGACAGTGTCTTCTAAATCTGAAACTGGGGCACTTGGTGTGACAAATCTAAGATAGCAGTTGCTGTACCCCTAAGGGGCTTTGGCAACTCCCTTCTGCCATTCTGGGGCTGCAGTTAGTCCAAACAGCAACTTTGGATAAAATAGGAAAAAGTGTCCAGTGTGGCCCCCGGGTGCCCAGTCTGGCTGCCAAAGGACACATTTCCATGCCAGCTTAGCCCTTCCCCATGGGCCAGGACTAGAAGCAATGGCCCAGCCTAAACAATAGCTAGATGCTGCCACCACTCTTCATTCCCTCTGCCCTCCGACTCCCTCAACCATAGGCCCTCCCCTCCCCTCCCCTCTGGGCCACACGGTGGTCACACTCACATGGCTCCCACATCTCTTTTTTTAATAGGTCAGTCTGTCTGCTTTCAAACAACTGCACTCTGACTCAACAACTTCCTCTTTGCAAATTTCCTCTTGGCTCTGGGGAAACAGCACAACCACCTTTGGCCCCTTTGGGCTGGGGCGGGGGCGGCTCTCAGGGGCAGCATAGCTGTGAGGTTTGTCCCCTCCTGTCTACCCCAGATCCACAGGGGAAGTCCCTGGCACTCCCCTCCCTGGGCATCCCCTCTCCTTATTTGACTCACTCTCACTGATTCCCCTGGGAGAAGGGAAGAAGCTGAGCCCTGGAAGAGGACGTGGGGACAGCAAATTAAACAGACAACAGCAGGGACCAGTCCCCTCACTTCCAGGCAGACGCCTCTCCACAGCCTCTGTGTGTGCGTGTGCGTGTGTGTGTGTGTGTGTGTGTGTGTGTGTTGGAAATGGTGGCCGAGCTGAAGGAACAGACTTGGTAACATATTTGGTCTTTTTATCAAGTTGGCAAAATTGGCATTTTTTTTGGGGGGGGGGCTACAGAGAGAGTCGGATTTTCTGCTAGGTGCACCCCGTCTGAACCAAGACAAGAGCACATATATTCTGAGCAGTCCCTGGGTCCCCCACCCTGGGTTTGGCATCTCCTTAGTCTCTGCCCACTTTCTGTCCCATCCCTCCCACTGCACTTACTGCCACCCTCTGTAAACACCATGGAATCCTCACCTCTGGCACAAATGGCATCTTGAGTGGACCCCGGCAGGTGTGGGGTCTCTGAGAACTATACGAGGCCAGAAAGTCTTTTCATCTTTGTCCGTGGAAGACGAAATAATGAAGTCACTGGCCGCTTCAGTCCATAAGTCGGGGACAGGGTCATGGCTTGGGCTATGGGCCAGCCCAGAGTCCAGTGCTCTGGGAAATGTCACAGAGGACACAGCTGGATAGCCCTGCCCAGTCCCGGCTCCTGGCTGGGCCAGAGTGAATGCAGGTCCTGGGCTGGCCCMGTAGGACTGTCCTACCTGAGGGACTTGTGTCACCTACAAAGTTTAATCCTAAGGAATTTGGGGGATTGTCATTTCCTTCTCCAATGTCCTCAAGAGGGATCCTTTGAGAAATCAAGTGAAGGTTGGCATCATGGAGACTCAGCAGCTGGTTCCAAGAACAGAAAGTAATGGGGAAGCGGTGGGGGAAGCGGAGGTCAATGAGAAGGCTGAGTCTTTCCGTTCACAAACATTCTATTCTGCAGGTGCGCCCCGGCCCAGGTGACAGATGTGGCACTGGGTAACAATGCTGGCGGGAGGCTTGGGGTTGAGAAGGTAGGTGCAATTCTGAGTCAAGACGCTGGGCAAGAACCCAGAGGGTGCTGAGTGAGTGTGCAGGGTGAGGAAGGGGTTGGAAGCGATGCTAAGGGAGGAGGGGATGGCAGATGGCAGGGATCCTCAGAATTGCATTATTTACAAACTTGAACGTGCAGCCCCATCCCCCACTTCTGGCCCATTGGAAGTGGGGGCTTCCACCGCCTCATCCTCACTGCCCACCAGTGGCTCCTCTTCCCCCTTTGTGTTGGAACCTGACCCAGACTTTAGTTCCTCCAGCACCAAGGAGCCCTGGCGAGACTTCCGTCTGCTGAAGAAAGTGGTGAGCAAGGGCCGCTGGCCAGACGCCTCCGTCTCAAGGACCCTAGAGTCTTTGTTGCCCCCAGCCCCTCCCCCTGGAGTGGTTGTGGCCTCCTCATCAGGGACCCTGGCTGGCCCAGCCCAGGCATCCACCACTCCATTGCGCTTTCCACCTGTGTTCAGCATCAGGACCCCGGTTCTCCTCTTCTGTCGCCGGCGCCACAGCAGGAGCAGGGCCAGGAGGACTATGACCACCAGCAGGGCCACAAGCACAGGTACCAGCAGCATGCCATTCGACCCTGATTTTTGCGGGGAGCTAGTGCTCATGCTTATAGAGGACTGGGAGGTAGTAGATGCAGAGGTTTTTATGCTAGTCACTGGGGGTCCTTTGGTCACAGTGGAGGTCCCCAGAGAGCTGGTTGTCATGGTGACAGAGTGTCCCTTGGTTTCATTGGAAGGTTCCAGAGAGATAGTTGCCATGGTGACAGGGAGTCCACTGGTCTCATTGGAGGGTTCCAGAGAGCTGCTTGTCATGGTGACAGGGGGTCCACTGGTCTCATTGGAGGGTTCCAGAGAGCTGCTTGTCATGGTGACAGGGGGTCCACTGGTCTCATTGGAAGGTTCCAGAGAGATAGTTGCCTTGGAGACAGGGAGTCCACTGGTCTCATTGGAAGGTTCCAGAGAGCTAGTTGCTATGGTGACAGGGGGTCCACTGGTCTCATTGGAAGGTTCCAGAGAGCTAGTTGCTATGGTGACAGGGGGTCCGCTGGTTTCCTTGGAGGTCTCCAGAGAACTAGTTGTTATGACGACAGGGAGCTTATTAGTCACATTGGAGGTGTCCAGAGAGTCAAATGTCGTGTTTTCACTTGTCACAGTGGGGTTTCCCGAAGGCTTCACTGAATCAGTGACCGAAGGGTCACTAGTTGCATTAGAGGTTTGGGGGARTACTGATGACTTCTCAGTGGACACTTCCTGGGATGTTGTTGGCTCAGGTACAGGGGGCCCAGTGATGGCGCCAGTGAAAGTCTGAGGGTGGGTCTCGTCACTGGTTGTAAAGGTAGTTGAGGAGGGTGGGTGTGAGACCAGGCTTCCAGCGCTATTGGCCTCCTTAGGGTCACTTGTTACTGGCATGGCGGAGATATCTGATTTGAAGCTCGGGGTACCTGTGACTTCAAAGGTACCTGTGACTGAAGAAGCAGAGGATTGTCCTGTGGCATTCGTCATGTTCACCASAGACTCTTGGCTCACCACCTGGACCCAGAAGCCCCCAAAGAGAAGGAGAAGCAGCGCCATTTCCAGAGCGACAGGCATGCACAGGAGTTGAGACCTGCSGGTGGGGAAGTTGGAGAAACAGAACACTCAGGGGCTAGGGGAAGGACCTAGCCAAGCCCTCCCCCCTGCCCACTTCCCTGCCAACTGCCAGCCCAACTTGTGGTTTAACGACTTTTCCACCCTCGCTTTTACTATTATCAAAAATAACAAGGGAATGTGCTGGCGGCTCCCCTATCACCCCCACCATATGCACCCCGCACACCAAGCCTTGGCAACTGAGACTCCAGCAGTGACCATGCCCTCTGGGTCTCTCCTTATTCTATGCAGCCCAGTGGTTCCAGATTCTCTCTTCCCGTCACCTGTCAGGATCTTTTTAAGCCATATGCACACTGCCAGGTCTTCTGAGGCCTCTGCCTACYCCAGGTCACACACTCTTACCAGTTCAATTTGATAAGGTGCAGGGCTGGCGCCAGCCACTCCAACTCCTCCTAAGGTTCAGGCAGGACTGGGGCAGACTGGGCCCCAAGGGGAAAGGAAGTGGGCTCTGGCTCCACCCACCCCACCCCTGCATCCTGCCCCACCCACTCCCGCTCCCATCACCACCGAGGTACTGGAGGACTTGGGGGCTCAGCAGAGGGAGGAGAGGGTGTGGGTTTTCCGGAATGGGAATTTGAGTCTTAATTGGGGTACAGAATGGCAAAGGGTGAGAGCTGGCATAAGAAGGTGCATCTAGAGGGTGCAGAGGGGGAGATGGGAGGGGAGGGTGGTTTCCTTTACATCTGTGGTCCCCCAAGCTGTTAGGTCAGGACCCAGGGTGGTGCATTTCCTGTCCCCAAGAGCTCCCAGGAAGTAGCAGGGTCAGGGGAAGCCCCAGACTCTGACTGGGGGCCCTGAAATCCTTTGCAGGCTGATAAGTTCTTGACCACACCAGAAGGAATTAAGGGTCACCACAACAGCCCCCATTAGGACATGCTTAACTAAACCAAGGCCCTTACTCAACATTTCCTACACCATGATTTTATTTTTGTATGCTACTAGTAAAGATGTGGGGATCTATATGGAAAATGGTCTGGAAATATATCTACTGAGGGGTTAGCCCAATTGTACTTGGCTGGGTGAGAGTAGGGATTCTCTCCTCCAGCCCACCCAAGGTGCTGGGGATGGAATCCAAGGCCTCAAAGGTGTTGTGCAGGGGCTTTACCACTGAGCTATACCACCAGCCCCAAGTAAAGAACTATGTAATTTTTTTTTTCCCTTTGGACATTTGTTTCCTGACTTTCCTCTAATTGAGAAGCTTAAACTTTTTGGTATGTGTCGTTTTGGGGTTTTGCCTTTAAAAACGGATTTTGATATTGTAAAAGCAACACTTGTGCATAATAAATTAGAACGGTCCCCAGCAGAGTCAGGGAGTATGCCCTAGTTCCAAGCTGATGAGTTAATCTGACCCAGAGACATGAGACTCTTGGGTCAGAGACTTAGGAATTCATTACTCACAGAATAGCAAGAAAAATAAGCATTAGGTTTATATCGATGCCGGGAGTCCCCGGGGGGAGGTGACACAGAAGGGTCCATTTTGTGTGGGGGGGGGGGCGGGGGGATTGAATCCAGGGCCTTGTGCATGCTAGGCAAGCACTCTACCAACTGAGCTATTTCCCCAGCCCAGAAGGGTCCACATTTCCACTGYGTACACAGTAGGCCCACATGGCAGCCAAGGAACCCTGACCTATTGCCTCTTTTATAGCCCSTGGTAACCCAACCTACTGCATGTCTTGAAGGGAGACACAGTTTCATCCCTGAGTTGCCCACCACAATACAATGCTGAAAACGACTTGGGTATGGAATGATCAGGGCCTTGCATCTTTGGTATACCAATAAGAATGTGCAGGGATGCTCAGGGGCTGTGGCTGATGGCTTCTCCCACCAGTCAGCAGAGTATCAAATGAAAATGAAAAGTTTCACACCCCCCCAGATAAATATTTCTTACAGTGTGTTTATACAAGCATATATTTGTGTATTTTGTTATATACTGTTCTGAACTTTTTTTGGTTTTGTTATTGAAAAATATTTTGGCAATTTATATATCTCCCATACATACGGTTTATTTTTTGTTTTGTTTTGTTTTTTTAATTTTTTACAGTGCTAGGGTGTCGAGTTCCTTGTGACTAAGACACTCAGGGTCACTCCAGGGGAACTGGGCTGCACAAAATAACCACACAAGAGACAAAGAGACCTTTTCCTTTGGAGTCCTGTGATGGGTCCTCTGACATTAAGGGTCCTCAGAAAGAAAGAGAGAGAGAGAGAGAGAGAGAGAGAGAGAGAGAGCATGTGCTGAACACTTTTATTGGGGAGAAGCCATTCAAATGAGGCAAGGGGTCAAGTTTCAGGGGCTGACTCTACCTTCCAGATGTCTGCTGTCAGCGGGTTGGCTGACATCTTGGAAGGCCACACCCAAAGGCAGAGCAAGAGAAAGGGACACACAAAGTGTTTCCATGGAACATTCTATCCAAAACAGGGCAAAGGGGTAATATCACAAAGGAACAGGTGAGCGTAGCTCAATCCATGGGGCAACAGGCCTGTGTCTGAAGATGCATGGGGCAACAGGCCTGTGTCTGAAGATGCGTCCTCAAACTTCCAGGACCAGTCAATGTCCAGGTCACTACGAGATGTAGTGACAGTCAAAGCCTCTCTGGCTCAGAGAAGGAGAATTCGAATCATTCAGACTGGCTCCCCACACTAGGGATGGGACCCAGGGCCTCATACAAGCTAGGCAAGTTCTCTACCACTAAGCTATAGTCCCAGCCATATGCATTATTTCAAAAAATACCAATCTCTCTATTTTATGTTTGCAGTTCCAGGGATTGAACCCAAGTACCATTTTACTACAACCACAGTCCTTTTTCTTATTTCTTTTGAGACAGGGTTTTCTTGAATTCGAGACCCTCCTCCCTCATCCTCCCAAGTCACTGGGATTCTTGCTTCCAAATGCATTACATTTCATAGAAAGCACCTCAATTTAAGTATTCCTTATTGATGAACATTTAGATTGTTTTCAATATTTCATCATTATTAACAGTACTACAGCTGGTCGTGGTGACACACTCCCTATAATCCCAGCACCTTGGGAGGCGGAGGTCAGCCTCAGCAACTTAGCAAGGCCCTAAGCAACTCAGTGAGACCCTCAGTGAACCACTTAGGATGTGACTCAGTGGTTTACCACCCCTGAAATCAATTGCTGGTAGAAAAAAAAATCTGCAATAAATGTTTTTGTTTATTTTTGTGGGATGATCATGTATTAAAACAAAGATTGGGGAAGAAGAAAGACATTGGGAAAGGCAGTGAGGGAAGAAGGAAGGAAAGCAGAAGAAACTTTCCCACTGTTAGACATTTACATTGTTCTGACCTTTTGCTATTGCAAATAGAAAAGCAAGAATAGGCCGGGCACAGTGATTCACGCCTGTAATCCCAGCAGCTCAGGAGGCTGAGACAGGAGGATTGCGAGTTCAAAGCCAGCCTCAGTAACACCGAGGCACTAAGCAACTCAGTGAGACCCTGTCTCTAAATAAAATACAAAATAGGTCTGGGGGTGTGGCTCAGTGATTGAGTTCCCTTGAGTTTACTCCCTGTTACCTGCCCCCCGACCCTCCAAAAGTCAAGAATACTTAGCTGCAAAACTAGGTGTGGTGGCACATGCCTGCAATACCAGCAGTTCAGGAAGTTGAGGAAAGAGAATCACAAGTTCGAGGCCAGCCTCAGCAAACTTGTCTCAAAAAAAAAAAAAATTCATAAATAAATAAATGGCTGCAAAGTAATTAGAGGTGAAACATATTTTAACTGTAGAAAAAGATTTTTTAAAAAATGATGTAAGACTGCACAAAGACTCTCATCCTTTAAAATAAAACCCACTGAGGCAAAAATCATGTTTGACATGGCCAAAAATAAGAGACCCTAAGGTGAGGGAGAGATTAAAAACAGGAACTAGGGGTGACCTCAAGGTACCAGAGAAGAGTGAAACTGAGAAAACTGCTGGCAGCAGTGGGGACTGGCACTTGTCATTTGCCRGGTACAGTGCCAAAGATTCTCCCTGCCTGATTCCAATTGTTCCTCGAAGCGTGAGGAAGCAGAGGCACTGAGAGGTTGACTAGCTGCCYGAGGAGCTTAGGTGAGCTGGGCTCAGAGCCCTGCATGGTCTATGCACATAGCATTTACTCCTGAAATCACCCTGTGACATCCATGCCGTTAACCCCATTTTACAGGTGAAGAAACTGAGAAACAAGTCTGAAAAACAAAATGATTAAGAGATTTGCAACTCCTTCAACCAGCAAGTGCTAGAGATGAGATTCAGAGCCAGGCTATTTAAAGGCCAAAGACCAAGGGTAAGGATCTTCATCTGATGTTGCTTATGTATGAATAATCCAATAGAGGCTAGGTAAAAGAAAAAGGAAAAGAAAATAGGGGCTAGATAACAGTCTTAAGGTGTGTCTAGGAAGATTTCAGAGAAGCAATATATTTGAGCTGGATCTTTAAAAAACTAAAGGAAGCCAGAGGCCAAGTGCAGGGATGCACGCCTGTATTCCCAGTGGGTCCGGAGGTTGAGACGGGAGAATAGCCAGTTCAAAGCCGGCCTCAGCAAAAAGCAAAGTGCTAAGCAGGTCGATGAGACCCTGTCTCTACATAAAACACAAAAAGGGTTGGGGATGTGGCTCAGTGGTCAAGTGCCCCTGAGTTCAAACCCTGGTACTTCCCACCAAAAAAAAAAAAAAAAAAAAGAAAAAGCTAAAGGAAATAGGGACCCATCTCCTTCTCTTATACACACATCCATCCAACCTATCTATAAATGCAGTCATTTCCACCTTCAAAATGGACCCAGCATCTGACAACCAGGTCTTGGCTTCCAAATACACTGTCCCTGTAGGAACCAGGGCTCTTCCAAACATGACTGATTCCAGGGCTGGAGTAGGCAAAGCATGAGACAAGCCTGGAAAATCTTCTTGTCTCAAATAAGTGCTCAAAGAATAATAAAGACATGTCCAAAGGACAAGGAACCAGCTTGAAGGAGTTACAAAGCCAAAGCAGGGATACTTTGAGCATCAAAAGAAACAATGGGGGCTGGGGTGGTGGCTCAGTGGTAGAGCACTTGCCTAGCAAGTGTGAGGCCCTGGGTTCGATTCTCAGCACCACATATAAATAAATGAAAAAAAATAAATAAATAAAGATCCATCAACATCTAAAACAATATTTGAAAAATAAGAAAAGAAAGAAAGAATGGCAAAGGCAGGCATGGTGACACACTTCTGTAATCCCAGAGACTTCGAAGGCTGAGGCAGGAGGATGGCAAATTTGTGGCCAGCCTCAGCAACTTATCGAGGGCCTAAGCAGCTTAGCAAGAAATAAGTGCATCAAAGAAGAAAAAAATTAAAAGGGCTGACTATGGGCTGGAGTTGTAGCTCCATGGTACAGCACTTGCCTAGCATATGTGAGACACCAGATTTGATCCTCAGCA